CGAGGACGGCGCGCGGGCAGATCTGTGACATGCAGCGAAACCAACAGATTCCGGATGCCCAAGAAAGACCTTGCAGTCGCTTTGAGGAAGAGGCAAGACGGCCTGACCAACGTAGAGTGGGACTTTGATTTGTGTGAGGTGAAGCCAAGACTAAAGTTTCCTGCATTTTTTTTGTTCTGGCACACACGTTTGGCTTGTGTTTCTGAGACATCCAACGGAGCAACTGACTGGTTCAGACTGGGTGACCCGATGCGGCAGGAAGACAAGTGGCGAGGCTATGGCATGCTCATCTCCCAGGCACCTCACACCACTGCTCAGCGGGCACAGGCTGCCCTGAAGGCCCGGATTTTGAGCCGAAGACACTTGAGCCGCTCACAGGCTGCTCAGAGCCGATTCGGGTAGATGAAGGTTGGCAAGGGATAATCCCCTTGCCAATACATGGGTGCAGATATCCGCCTCTTTAATTTACACGGTGCTGGGCTTGGACCATTGCAATACCGATCGGTTTTGATTATGCGTCACTTAAACATCCTCCCTGCAGATCTCCATTTGTGGTGAGCCATCGTCCCTTTTAAGAGAAGACTAATTAAACACTTAATTACTTGTCAGAACAGTGTGTCATGACGCCATGTTGCATGGGGGTTGGTTGTCCGGCGAAAACAATTCTGTGTTCTGAGAACCATATTGAAAAGAGTCCCAGTCCCACATTGCCAGTGCCCCTGTTTGCATTGATCCTAGATTCCATCATGCACTTTGTCGGTGGGGCAGACTTTCGCAGAATCTCGGGCGAGGAAAAATGAGACTGGTGTCCCCCCCTCTTTGGGTTTTATAATGTACCAATTATTTTCCTGGGTGTGTGTGTGTGTGTTGAGTTGATGGTATTGTTTGGTTGTTTCTTCAGGGCCTGAACATGGCAGGTGGTTTGCGACGCCCTTTCCAGCATGCCGGAAGCGCAGCCCATCCACATTCGTACTGAGCGACTCTGAGATGCGCGATCCACTGCTTGGAACGCTTCCCTGCTTTCAGGATTGGGAAGCTTACACTTGATTCTGGTAGGTGGGGCGGATTCTCTCAACAGGCGCTGCCCGATCGCTTGATGAAATGCGTTTAGCCAGTGGCTTCAGTTGCACCGGGCAAGCGGCACCTTGAGCCTGACCAGCACGGGCAGCTCCACCGTGTCTCCAATGCAGTGGCAGAAGTAGGGAAGAGTTGATTCTGACTAATTGTGTTTGCGGCTCTTGAGCTGGTGCTGTGCTCTGCGTATGGTACGGCGCCAAGTCTCACTTGTTTCAGAACATAGCACCCGTTTCGAAAGATGCAGAGCCAATCCTCAACCTGACTCAAGGGTCACTGCAGGTTCACCCACGCATGAATGCCGAAGTACGTTGGGTGTCATAGATGGCTTGTTTACAACAGACATTTGTACGATACAGCCGTCAGCCGGCTCAATCCCGTGGGATGCCTCGCATTCCTGCGGTGCACTTTGTCATTTGACACCTTGGCAGCAAGAGCGGCCAACCAAGACAATCCTTGAGCGCCGACTAAGCAATCGACAAGAAATTGTTGAAGGGCCCAAAGTGCCTGGGGCATGTCTCGACTGGCATTCTGCCATCTCAGGAGATACCCAGATCCCTACATGCTCCATGCAGGCATGCGTGTGTGTGTGTGTGTGTGTTTGTTTTTGCGCACACGGGCCCCTTTGGTATGGTTTGCCTGTCTCCTGATCTTCTTTTTGCTTATCATCAACTAGTGTCCAAGGAGAATCGCGGGTGTATACAAAGAGTTGCCGTTGGAACGACTTTGTGTGACTCGACAACTTGGGCGTTCTTGAGAGGCCGAGCGACGGCGAGTATGCCCCAGGCGAACTTGCCGCTGCGAATCTGAAGGGTGGGTTGTCAGATCAGGAAAGTCTCGGGATGTGTCAAGAAAGGTAGGCTGCTGCGGCTGCTCAGATAGAAGGCGCCATGTGCAAAATCTCGCGAAGCATTGCAGGCATTGAGATGTCCGATCCTGCTGCTGTTCTTGGGCGCCACAGCGGTGGCTTGGCTGTGAATGTCCGATGTCCACACTTTGAGAGCCCGACATTTCGGCATGAACATTTGAGTGGCAAGACTATAACCCTCCAGCCAAGGAAACCCTTCCGTCCAAACGGCACGGAGCCGGACACCATGAGTCAGAGGCCGCTTGCGCTTCGCATAGGCGTCACACACCTCTCTTGATTTCGAATGTTTCAGTTTGTTGCTCCAGAGAGCATGCGCAGAAGTTGCGTGAAGCTGGTTGCCATGTGCGGCTGGATGCTTGTGCATTCGGTCGCAAGAGAGCCAAATTGCCTGCAGGTGGACTCCTCCGGTGCGGTGACGCCAGGCAAGTGCAGTCATTCGCATGCCGCTCCGACTGAAGCTTTGCCCAGAGGTCGCCGAATGATGAGGGCTGAGTCCCACGAGTCCTTGGCGCATGTTTCGAGACACTACGAGGAGAAGTTGGCCTGAAACTGGGAATGCTATAAGAAGGTTGGCGACAATGTAGCAACAAGAGAGCCAGGTTCTAGAGATTTGCTTGACCTTCATTGTTGCGCAACCAGATTGAGACGGCGATTGTTCGCCCTATTCGTTTGCAGCATTGGTGCCGCGGTGAGAGGCAGATGCCAGGACCCGGAAGATGAGCTCTACAAGGCTCTCGCTTCACAGCTTGGTGACATGAAGGACATGCTGTGTGGCGAGAAGGTTCGACGACCCCGAACGTGAGGGTTTTGGCTTTGCCTTGCTGAAGCTCTGGCATCCTCTGGCAACATGTCGAAGCTGCTGTCTTGAATTGCCCATTGGCACCTGGAAGGAGAAGCCAGGAAATGCCTCAGCGGTGCCAGTGGACTGCCAGTGGTGTCTTGGCATTTGACAGGCTTGCATACAGCAGGGCTCGTTCAATCTGAGGTGAAAGAATTGTGATGTTGCAAACGCGGGGGAGCAGTCAAAGTGACACTCATGCACTTTCCTTTGCTGTGTTCACAAGGTATGACTGGAGTCCATGGTCATTCTGCTCCAAGACATGCGGCACAGGCGGGTAATTCGCACATGGAAAGCATGTTACAGCAGACAACCATCGCACAATACTCACACCAGAAGTTGATTCCGCCAAGTTTTTACGCTAGCCGCTAGCAGCGTCGACCACGTCACAGGCGTTTGGGGCTGGCATCCACAGGCATATGCCCTGCGGATCTGACGGGTATTACCTGCTCAAACCCTGATCCACAAATCCACCATCTTCCCAAGTAGACAGTAAGACAGCAAATGATCTTTGTGCCGCGCCAAGCGGATGAGACTATCCTGGCTTTGGGTGATCCATCCCAAGCCCAGATATCCATGCATGCGTGCTTTGTTTGGGAACCCAAATCTTCAATGCTTTCTGAGACGGCACACATTCCATATGCCATATGCAAGTATACATACTATACATACACAGCAAACAAAGGAGCAAGCAAACAAACGAACAAAGAAACAAGCAATCAAGCAATCAAGCAATCAAGCAATCAATCAATCAATCAAGCAATCAAGCAATCAATCAAGCAAGCAAGCAAGCAAGCAAACCCAAGCGCACAAGCAAGCAAACAAACAGATGCACGACCACACACAGGCAAGGACACCTAGATGAAGAAAAACAAATACACAAAATCATCCCCTCAAGCTCACACAGCAGCAACTTTCATCCAGGTCCAGACCCCCACCGTCGTAGCCCGTTTGTTTGTGTGTATTGTTTGTCGGCTTGTTTTCGTTGGTCGTTTGTATGTTATGTTGCTTTGCTTGATTGTGTTTTGCTTCTCTTTTTTTGTTTTCGATTTTTGCTTTGCTTGCTTGTTTGTTTCTTGCTTGCTTGCGTTGTTGCTTGCCTGCTTGCCCGCTTGCTTGGCTTGGCTTGGCTTGGCTTGGGTTGGCTTGGCTTGGCTTGGCTTGGCTGGCTTGGCTGGCTTGCTTGGCTGGCTTGCTTGCTTGCTTGCTTGGCTGGCTTGCTGGCTTGCTTGCTTGCTGGCTTGCTTGCTTGCTGGCTTGGCTGGCTTGGCTGGCTTGGCTTGCTGGCTTGCTTGCTTGCTGGCTTGCTTGCTGGCTTGCTGGCTTGCTTGCTGGCTTGCTTGCTGGCTTGCTGGCTTGCTTGGTTGGCTGGCTGGCTGGCTTGCTTGCTTGCTTTCTTGCTTGCTTGTGTGCTTGCGTGTTTAAGTTTCAGGGAACAAGATGGCTTGCGTTTTCGGTGCATAGTGCGTGGATGTTTGGTAGTAGACAACGATTCCTTGTAACTTGGTGGCGTCCAATCGTCCAGATCTCACCAGAGTGCACGCCCTGAATCTGGTGAGAATTACATTGACATGTTAAACCTACCTTGTTTTGGGAAGAACCACGCCCCGTTTCAAGAGCAGTGTTTGCCAAAAACAACATTTAGCGCACTTATCTTTAAAAGTGCCGTCAGCAGGCAAGCTCTGGAATCCGTGAAGTTATTGTAACCGCTGCGCGTTGCCCGCCTCGGCCCAGCCGAGCGCGCAGCGTCTGTGGTTCGACTGCAAGCAGCAGAGCTGGTCAAGTGGCGATTCAGGCATGGACAGGTTCTGGCGTCGTTGGACAAATTGATGTCATCCCTGGGCAAGGCGATGCGCAGGACCAGGAGAGAGTCATGGAGCCAGCAGACAGGGCGGGCTGGGCTGGCCCTTGCTTGGGTTGCTGGTTGGGCTGTAGGCAGCCGGAGTGGCGGCGGGCCTTGATTGGGCAGGTTGTTGGTTGGGCCGGGCTGTGAGGCTAGTCTTAGACACGTCGGACAGGCCTGAGAACAAAAATGGGCCCATGGAGCTGCAAGGCCCGCCGGACAGGATCTTAAGCCAGCAGACATGGGTAAAGACAAGGAGTGAACAGCAAAGAAATAGTGAAGCATAATGAGCAAACAAACCCGTCGCAATGAGTCTGTCAGATTTTCCCAGCATTGCAGTATGACGCCTGGGGGCTGGGAGGCAAGACACGAAGGAGTGCATTACATTGTCATGAATGCAACCCTGGGGTGTGGAGGATTGTTCTTACGAACGTGCGCGAGCATAATAGAGCGTGCGCATCCTGCAGCACACCTCTATGGGAAGAACAATGCCCTTGAAATGCAAGGATTCTGTCTTGGAACGACAGGCTGGTATTTTTTTGCAAAAACTACGTTTTACTTCATAATTACATCTTTGTAATTACCTCTCATTTGTATATGAGTGAAGAGCATGGACCCCTAGTTGTGAATGTCAGTCAACCCGACAAGGAAGAAGTCCACCGCTTTCCGCAATGCAAGTAGGGGGCATGCCAGACCACAAAACCGAGGGTCCATTGGCAAGGTCCCATTTGACTTTAGAATCTCAATCGCCAGTGTTGATGATGCTACGTAGCACTGCGCAAGCGGCAAGCTTGTCAGCACACAAGGAACCAGAAAAACACTAAGCGGAGCTGCTCAGCAATGGAAACCAGACCGGCAAATGAGATATACACATGAAATTGTATGCCGGCTCGCCCCACGATCCGCAGGCACCTACCATCGGAAGCGCACCGTAGCTGTCCAAGACACTTCTGGTGGCAAGACTTGCACAGGGGACGACCAGGACAGAAGGCTTGCAGTGTATTGCATTTGAAAAAAACTACAGCATATATGGAAAACCAACAGGAAAACCACCATTTTGGGGCCCGTGTATCGATGTGCATGCTTTCGAATTGCTTGCTGTTTGACCAAAGAAACACTAGAACATTGCTTTGGAAGCTTTGCATCACTCGTCTTTACTTTTGCAGGAGTTTGGCGACTGCAATGAGATTCCATGCCCTGTGGAGTGCGAGTGGGGGGACTGGACCCAGTGGTCAGACTGCTCTGCGAGCTGTGATGGTGGTGTTCGCCAAAGGTGCCTGCCAGAAGATGGTACCGTGTTTTGAGTTGTCCGAAATTCGGATTTGGGGGTTGATCAATTTTCGCTTCGGCCCCAAATGACCATGGCTAACTTTTCCCATGTGGGAAGTATCATCTTTTTTTTGTGGCTTTCTACAATGGTCATCCTATGTAAAGGACTGTTTTATCAACCCCCATTTATCCGGAGGACCAGACTCTGAGGGTCTAAAACCAAGAAATCCCCCAAAAGGGGAACCACCCTGACTAGTCCATCGGATTCATCGGGCTCATCCAAAGTTAACTTTTTTTTTCGTTGACATGCGTCGACTTAGCTGGAAAGCGCTGCACGTGAGGGAGAAGCCCGTCCTCGTGGAGTCCAAGCAGGATGAACATTCCTGCAAATTAGAGGATGGCGTGCAAACAGGCGAGGCGTCGCCTTGCGGATTGCTGATTGAAGTTCCAAAACCGGAGATCCAGAATCCAAGTTGGCTTGGAAGGTGAGTGCAGCACCCAGCGCTGCAGCCACGACTGCGCGTGGGGCGACTGGTCCAGCTGGTCCAGCTGCTCAGCCAGTTGTGCCGGCGGCACCAAGAATAGGCGCTGGCACCAAGCTGTGAGTGAGGTCTTCGAATGGGTGTGTCTCAAAATAGGCCCCCAAAATTTCCGGGTTCGTCTAGTTGCCCTTTTAAACCCACCCCAAAAAGGCGTCTCCTATTTTGAGACACAGCACCCCCGAAGATGGCTATTCCTGTTTGTTGGTTTCTTTTTCAACTGCTCTGAACAAGGGGAAACGTGAGACGAGGGCATCGAAGTGAGCGATGGGTGGGACTCATGGGTCACGCTGTTATGTTTCGCAAGCCGCTTGCGCCCCGCTCGCGTGCAGGACACGCGAAGTGCGCCTGCCTGCGGTTGAGGACGGAAAGCAGTGTGACGGTGACAAGATGGAGGAGCAACCGTCGTGAGTGCAGGGAGCTTCGGGTATTACCTGCTTGAGCTGGGCTAAGTGACAACTGGAATTGGGAGAGCACGCCTTTGCTTGGAGCTTTGTTAAGAACCCCTGAATTCGCTTTGGCACCCCCGCAGCGTCGTGTGAGGAGATGTCTTGCAATCTCAAGGCTTGCCCTGTTGACTGCGTCGGGAGCCTTAGTGCTGCGCGCTCGTTTAGGCGTCTCTGCAACAGCTGGAAACCAACGGACCAGCTATAAAACATTGCGCTTCCAAGAAAGCTTCGATCCTCCCACGGTTTTCAGCACGAGATCATGGCACGTGGCCGATCCAAGCTCAGGTGATCGCAGATTGGAGTCGTTGGGAGCCCTGCTCCGCCACCTGCGGCAACGGCACCAAAACTCGGCGTCGAGTAGCGGAGATACAGGCACGCCATGTGCTATGCGCTATGTTTGCAGAAATATTCCTGTCGCCAGCTCCTTTTCCTAAAGGCTCCCTGGAACAAGTTTGCCAAGCACGCTCCATCGTAGATCTCACTCCCTGAGTTCCTGGACTTTAATACTTTTTGGGAAGACCATCTTAGTGGTAAATAGAAAGTCTGTTCTTTTTGGCCAATCCTCTCGGGAAGTGAGAGAGTGGACAGCCACTGGTTATGGAACTGTCCGCCAGCCAATTCCCAGGCCACTGCTGGTGGCAGCGAATGTTCGGGGCCTTTTACCGAGGAGACGGAGTGCTCTGAGGCAACGTTGCACCGAAGTGTCGCGAGGTATCGCGAATTGGGCGTGGTTGTCAAAAATGGGGAACACTTAAAATGAGTTGGCACAGAAAATGGAAAGGACTCAAACCTGTGGTCCATATCCTGGTGAAATTTTGATCCATACCCAATTGAGCCCATCACAGTATGGAACAACGGAGAAACAATGACTCCGTGCTTTTGGCTCAGATCGTTGGGTCTTTTCCGGGTGGGAGCTAGAAGCCCGCAACCACGTGGTCATCCCTCCTTGCAATGAAGTGACCAAGACTCAGTGCCAAGTGTCGACCTTGGCAAAGAACTGACTGCATGCCTGAAACCTCCACTCATCTCCGCTCCATTCAACATCATTGATCAACCTCGCGTATTCCCCAAATGTGACCGCGCATTTTAGGGTGTCCACCATTGTGTTTTGCCCTTTCAATTTCCCTTCAAACCACCCCAAAAGGCACAACTCCCAGAAAAAGCTAACATCCAGGAAACTCCAGAAGCATCCGATTTTTGCGTTTCATCCAAAAAATGTGTATTCACGTGTCTCTGATTTCCCCCTACCCGATTTTTGGTAAATCCGAGATGTGTCTCCAGGGCGGCTGCCCGGTGCACTGCGTCTGGGATGACTGGAGCGGTTGGAGCAGCTGTAGCGTCTCCTGCGGCGGCACGGCACCTCGAAGCGAAGACGGAAATGACGTAAACGAAAACGAAAACGAGAGCGCTGTGTGAGTGGAGCAAAAAAACGGAGTCTTGGCGACCTGTACATGTGCATGCATGTGTGCATGTGTAGACAGGACTGGGCCAAGCCTCAGCTGGCATGAGTTGATGACAGATGCCAAGGCGACCTTCTCCAGCAGCCTTCGCCGGCGCTTGGTGACAGAAGCCAACGGTGGTGTTCCTTGCCTGGGCCGCCTGGCGTGAGGTCGTTGAGCAGCCGGGGTTCCACTGCCATTGCGGATACTTGATTGTGCTAAGGCGATGAGGCTCAGCGCCGGCCCTGTGGGGAGGAGAACTGCCCAGTGGATTGCAAGTGGAGCGACTGGAGCGAGTGGAATCAGTGCGTCTTGGAGCAACAGCCACGGCTGTAATTGCGGGTTCACGGTTGTTTTTGGTTTTTAGTTTTTGGGTTCTATTCATAATCTTTGCTGGGGGGGGGGGGCTGCAAAACCACCTTTTTTTGCTACCACACCAAGAGTTTTAGAGACTGGGTTCACCGGTGAAGCTTCCAAAACTTGCGAACTAGATCCCACCATCCCCATTGGCTCATGCAGGCACCAAAACCTGCGGCGGTGGGCTGACTGAGCGCCTCCGCAATTCCACAGGGCCTACGTACGGCGGTCAGGAGTGCGATGGCGCAGCTTGGCAACAAAGGCTATGCTCAACAGGGCGCAGCTCTGAAATCCTTCCAATTCCAAAATGCGCAAAGCATGGCCAGTGCTGGGGCTAGATGCCGAGAAGATATAGGGGGTTTCATATTGATCGCATCTTTGAAATGACCTTTATGCCATCATAGCCAAAATTTCCCGCCAAATCTTTGAACTTTTTGCTAACGCAAAGATGGCGCATGAGCCGGGCTCCTTGTGAAAACTTGGCGAGAGGGCCGGTGATTCTTGGGTCGCTCGCGGAGCTCGATTTATTTGACCGGTTTGTCAATCAACACTGTGGGTGGAAACAAAGGGATGCAATTGCAACAAGGGCCCCACCCCCTGCGTTCATTCAGTTCACACCCTGCTTCTACACCCGAATTCAAGATTGTCGCAGGCTTTCCAAGCAGTAGAGGCTAGTGGCTAAAGGGCGGGTTCGTATTGATGGCACATAGGAAAATGTTTGATTTTATGTCCCCTAAGATTTTTAGCCTCCCGAATAATTACTACTTTAGTCTTCACACCCAAAACCTTCAAAAATCCGCTGGATGTGCCATTTTATGCACTAGAAACTCAGATGCCATCAATACGCACCCCCCTATAAATTCACGCACAGGGACTTGAATTTGGACATGCAATGTGATGGCAGGAAGCATTGCACTTGGAGAAACTTCATGTCTTGTGCATGTGCAGGGGGCCCTTTGCACCTTGATCCAGGCCTCCCGAGATGTGATGTCCTGCTCCCCGACGCCCTGTCCGGTGGACTGCAAGCTCTCAGAGTCTTGGTTGAAGCTCTTTACTTGGTGGTTCCCAGCCATCCGGTAGCTTCCCTTAGCTTTTCAGTGTTTAGTGGTTGGATTTCCGTATTTATCCCAATAAGAGTTAGTCGCTGTTAGCGGGGGATCTGAACACAGACGGCTTCGTTTGTGCCACCCCCTCCCAAGTCCCGCACGTCAGGACTGGAGCCCCTGGACTGAATGCAGCCTACACTGCGGGAACGGCACCGCTCTACGCTTCCGAGCGGAGGCTCCTAGAGAAGGTCACAGACTCGAAGTCATATTGGCTATATATGGGTCGAAACTAAACCACAAGAAAAACTGCAGGTTTTAGTCCTTGAAAGCCATGTACCAGGCTAGTCTTGACCCACACCCACATGCAGCCTCACACATCCTTTGCCAGGCAAACTCCGCGGAACACGGCGGCAAGGCATGCAAGACTGATCGACTTCATGAGGTCGCTGCCTGTCTGGGCAGCAGCCTGGCAAAAGTCATTCACCCTATTTTGCACTTGTATTTGTTCTAAAGCTAGCGGTGGGCAATGCACGCAGAGATCCATCCCAACCTGAAGAATCATGAATCAGATGCCAGGCATCTGCAGTCAGCGGTCATGGACCCAAGTAAGCCATTGCAGTGTAGCATGCGTGCAGGCTGTTGACCGAACAGCTGCTGCATGACGGCTGTTAAACCAGTACTCTTGACTTTCTCAGCACAATTGGCACAGCCCAAGAGTGAGGATCACAAGCAATGGAACCATTCAAGGGTGAGTTTGTCCTGTGTGAATGTTGAATCTCAGGTGACTGCAAGCCCACAGGGGTGCTGATCAAATCTGGTCAAGTGACTCAAGTCACGGGCGTTATGCAGGCCGGGGGTCCGGTGCGGCTCTTCGGTCCGGGGGTCCGCTGCGGCAGAAATCGCAAGATGTGCGCGGCTTGCCAGGTGGTGACAGAGGACCCTGTGGGCTTCGCCAGCAACCCCATGTATGCATTGGTGGCGCGGGAGGCCATCCGGCAATTTGCTACGGAGGACCAGCTCACGGGGGGAGCATGGAGAGGGTAGAAGAAGCTTTGTTTGTGCGCTTGGCCGCTCGAATTTAGCGTGCCCGTAGCAGCTTTCGTGTTACAAGGTGTGGCATTGAGTTGAACTGCCCAATGGTTTTTACAAAGATCCAATGTTGGTGGCAAAGTGCCAGAGAGTTTGTGCGGAGTCCGTCCGCTGAATTGTTGCCAGGACGTGGAGCGCGTGCACGTTTCAGTACAGCCGGCGCAACGGTACAAGCCCGGGCCTCCTCGGACTGCCAATGTTTGGCAGCTTGGCTCAATCCCCTTCTCTTGGCTGCGTGGAGGGACGGGGGAAGAGAGAGGAAGAAAGAAAGGAAGGAAGGAATCTGAAGGAAGGAAGGAAGGAAGAAAGAAAGAAAGAAATAATCAAAGGAGAAGAAAGAAAGAAAAGAAAGAAACAAATAAGCGAAAGAAAGAAACAAAAATCAGGAAAAAGAAAGAAATAAATAAAGAAATAAACCAAAGAAAATAAGGAAAATAAAGAAAGGAAAGAAAAGAAGGAAAAGACAAAACAAAGTACAGAAACAGAAGAAAGAGAAGAAGAGAAGAAAAAACAGACAGATAAGAGAATACATACAGAAATAAAGCAAGCAAGCAAGCAAGGAAGGAAGCAAACAAAGAAAGAAAGAAAGAAAGAAAGAAAGAAAGATAATCAACAAAGAAAAGAAAGAAAGGCAGACAGCCAGACAGGCTGGCAGACAGACAGAAAGAAGATAGCAAGCAAGCAAGAAAGTAAGAAAGAAACAAATCGGAACAGGAAGGAAAGGAAGGAAAGGAAGGACTAAACCGAGAGACTGTTTCGGTTTGCGACGACCTTTTCAAAAAGCTTCGTAGCCTTCTGCCAAGCCTTCAAGTCCTGTGAGAGGTTTGGGCGCTTTCTTTTGGCAGCAGATACTCAGGTTTAGCATGCTGGTTCCGAAGGACAAGAACGTCACTACTGTCCGGGGAAACCTCACGGACACCGAGCCTACGCTCTCAATAGCTCGTGAAGATTTGCAGATGCCAATCCATGGGCAAGCAGATTGAGTGTCAGAAACCATGCCCCGTGAGCTCACGCGATTTCATGGCCATAGCCCCTAGTCTCGCCTAAGGACACTTTGACAGCTGGCCGCGTTCTGCGCCAAATGCTTCGGAAGTCCGGCATGTCACTTGCCATGTGAATGAGCAAGCAAGTATAGTCGCATTGCGCATTGGTGAGGGGGCTGTGGCTCGAAAACATGTCACCAAAATGGCACCTTGGTAAATGCCAACAAAGACTAAACCTGCGTAACCCCAGCTTTTGAATTTTGAGCCACACCCAGGGATGAACAGCATTAAGGTATATTTTCACCAATGTCACCAAGTTCTTGGTGAGCATGCCCCGGCCAAAGCCGGTGGTCAAGAAAGTGGCACCTTCCTCAGTTCTGCCATGCTGCGGTGCTGTTGCTGGGCAATAACTCGCTTGTCATTTGGCGAAAGAAAACACACAATTCAAGAGGCTTCACGCATTTGAAGGATGGCATGACCCCTGTTACCGCTGAGAAACCGGTTTGTCCGGTTGCCTGCCGCATATTTTGGCAGCTCGTTGTCGTTGCTTCTTTCTAAGATGCCCGAGCCGAAGAATATGACCCGCGTCGTTTGCTTCATGCGCCTTGGCACGTCTTCAAACCGATTTATGTCAAACCTAACCCTAAGAATCAAACACATTGTGTGTGTGAGCAGTTGAATTGGCGATCCATAAGAGGTGATAGTTCCAACTGTCGTCGTGTGTGATTAGCAACTGTTTTGTCTTGGTCCGGCTCCCTGCATGAACACGGAAGCATGATTCGACAATGTCTGTTGTTGTTTATTATATGCTTGGTGTTTGTGTTTGAATAAGACCCGATTATTCTGAATCTATTGGTTTTTGTTACGAAAACCTATTGCTTATCGTAAACCAATTGTGAACCCCCGATGCTCTAGAAAACGGTTTGGATGCGCATTTTGGTAGCTTTCACCCGTTTTTCCCCCTGTAGGTTCTTTTTTTTGGTACTCTTTCGGTACTCTTTCTGTATCCTGCAGGAGTGGTTCCACAGATTCGCCACAGGAAGCTGCTGGTGCCGCAGCCTTTGCTCTTCGCGGAAACTGACCCCGCGCTCGCCGCGGTGCAGCGCTCCATCGCGGAGACCGCCGACGTGGCTGATGCCCCGCACTCAGAATCTGAGGTGAGCCACAATCAAAACCCGGGTAGATGACGGTTAGTAAAGGACAATCCCAACCATAAATAGCTGCGGCCGCCTTCTTAATTCTTTGCATGGTTTTGGGTCGACCATTTTAATACCGGGTTTTGATTGTGACTCAGGTGAAGGTTGGTAACACCATAGGCCAAGCTGATAGGGGTCAACTCCTCAAGGAGTTTAGACCATACGGATTCCCCCCTTATTCCCCTGCAGATCACATGATGTAGAGGTCTTGCATCGCCCGAAATCTGAGAGACACGTTGCCAGCTGCAAGTGGGTGGCGGGTAAACGTACCTATCAGGGAGCGCATCATCAGGTTTGCAGCTTTTGGCACATGCAACGCATGTTTAGTTTGCCCGGATCGTGGCTGGCTTGCAGCCTAAGGACGGCGTCCATGTGTCGCTCATGCCCGACATGATGCTGAAGACGCAAAAGGTGGACAGCCAGCAGAAATCAGGCCGAAGTGAGAGTGATACTTTTGCCAATGAATTCCACGTTTTCTTGTCACGCCTTTATCAGATGAATTGGCAAATGCGGGCAAAATTGGAAGAAAGACTGTTGGCTGTTTGCAACTCTGTGCGTGTTTACTTGTGTTGCTGAGTGCACGGTGTCGCATGCGCTAGCCCGATTCTTGAAGATGACCAGGTCCCAAAGCGCCTTTGGACTCCTGGTTTACGCTGATGGCACCGGCAAAACACACGATCCCAGAAGCCGATGATGCTTGGCAGGGAAGCCGCACAGAGAGGTTCACAGTCACCGGCACAGTTTGCCTTTAGTCGAGCTTCCTGTTTGCTTTCTGGGTCTCTGCCATGGGGTGATCACGGACGTGCTGCTTCAGCAAAAGGGATTGCTCTGGTTGCTTGTCATTGCACTCAGGAAGAGGCATTGAGCGTGGCCAAACGCTTGAACAGTGTTGGCCAGGGCGGCTACTCGTCCAGGAAGACGTCTCGGCACGAACCCCCCACAATGATTGCAGCCAGTTACACACATTGCTTCACATCGGGCTGTTGTCGGCAAGCAGATCATACCTGCAGGTTAGGGTTCTTTGTTGTTTCTGGTTCGTTTGCTGGGAGATTTTGTTGGAGACATTTGGCCAGATCCAACGATGCGACACCGCGAGGTATCTCCGCACGCCTCAAAGCGAATTTGATTGCCGCTGACTTGCAGGTTGCCTGGCCTGTGTCGTGCTTGTTCGCATACATGGGGGTTGATCAAAAGGTCCGAAATACATGGGATGACCACTGGTTTTAAAACCACTAAACAGATTTGCTATCTCAACCACATGGGAAAAGTTACCTGGGGGCCGAAGCCTGTAAGGGAATAGTCTCAACCCCCATGTTGCCTGAGGCTTGGGACTCCAGCGAGGTGAAGACCCTGATCTGCAAGGCTGAAGTCAGCGGCTGGGACCAGGCGGCTGGCGTGGGCAGAAGGCTGAGGGAGACTCCCCAGGCAGAAATAGCGGGTATCAGAGATCCGCCCTTTGATTTTCTTAGGTTTTGGGATTACGACCATTTTGGTACCGATCGGTGTTGTTGTGACTGAGTTGGCGTGGATTCGGAGCAGCAGCATCGGCCCCGGTGCCAGGAGCCTGTGGCTTTCGATCAGCGTGTAACAGGCGGGAACGAGCGCAACTGTTTGCAACTGTACACATTGTCAAAATGAGGAGGCCTTTTCTGGTAGCCCCTTTGAAAGGCGGAAGGCGGCACCAGGGTCCAACATCTGGCGCCGTATGTTTGACAAACCTGCTTCCAGGTGTGGTGCAGCTTGCCTTGACGAACCCTCGGCAGTTCTCGCAAGATGCACGCGCTGAGCAGGGTACCAGGCGAGGCAGCGCTGGGTCTTGCCTAAATATTCAGCTGATCCTGACCCTTAGTTGGTGGTTCGGATTGGCTTGGGGATTTGGACCCCTGGTTCTTGTGGAGGGTAGGTGGGAAACCCTCCCTCAACCACCAAACCACCAATCCAAGCCACCCAACTAGAGGGAAACTGAAATATCCTCAAAGCCTTCACATGCATCAGGCAGGCAATTGCCGAGATAGCAGACGTGCCGCAGGACACGATATGCATCTTGTTGCTTGCAGGCCAACTCGGCTGCTAGGCCTTTGTCCACAGGCCGTTTAGACTGGATTGCAATTGATTATCCTTTTGAGATTGATCCGACCATTGTTGCATTGCAGGATCGGGTGCAGGTGTCCCTTATGCCTGGCAAGGCAACCATGGACGACGAGGCAATGCTCCTACAGCCGCTTGGCTTGAGATGCGGGTAATTCGTGGCCGGTTCGCAGCGAACATGCCACGCTGTGATTAACTCTTTTCACTAAGGTTCGAAAATCAAGATGTCGAGGTGTCGAATACCGATGAAGACGAGGTCTCTGCATGGCCGCCTGGTTCTGCAATCAGTCACAGCAAGAGCTGAGATGACACCTTGTTGGAAGAGAAGTGTCAATCTGCCGCCCAGGTATCTCATCATTGTGCTCTTCGCTTGCAAAAGGCTGTTGACTTGTGATGGCAAAGTGCCGACCAACGAATCACGCTTCTCACATCTCTTGCTAAAAACGGGCCGGGGAGGCGAGCAGCTGGGGTGTTCAAGTCCACCGGTGTCTGCCGGGATGCTCTGAGGCCAGCCACACCAGTGGACGGCGCTTGGAATTTGGCCCACAAGCTGCCGCTTGGACTTCATGCATTGAATCTGATAGCTAGAACCCTGGAAGAGGTCAAAGGACGTTCGGCACGTTGCGGCGTAATTAGAGAACTCTGTTCAACATAGAGCTTCAGAAAGCTGACCCGCTCAGCAATGGAGTCTGTTCCATTCGGATAGTCAGCTTGCACCTAGGGCGAGCGACCTTGATTTCGCACGTTTGGCCAAGGAATTCCTTGGACTTGAGCTTGGCGGATGCATGGCTGCACTGCACATGACATGTTGCTAATTTTGCTGAGGTTGTGGCTCAAAATTTAAAGAGCTAGGGTTACGCAGGTTTTAGTCTTTGTTTCACCTAGGGGCCACAGCCACGTAGGGCGAACCAAGTTCCATTGAGAGGGGCTAGGAAATAATAACTGCAACATTATGGCGACAGCGAAATACAAGCAGAGGCACAGTATTAATTTCAGCCTCTGAGTTGTTCCACCAGTTATTCGGGCTTCGAGCGGTTGGAGGCACCGTGCCTGTTAAGAAAGAATAAGGCACGGCTGCACGAAATTTCATGAGGCAGCACGGCCCATCATCAGGCGATTGTCTAGCAACTCTCAGCAACGACAGTGAAAGGCATAGGAGACGAAAAGGGCCAGATGACAAATGTTGCCTCGCCCAAACTTATAAAGTTATGCAAGCAAAGCACTGACTTCCTGGTGCCGTAGGCAGGGATTGAGAAATGGAATGGCTCCGAGATAAACCATCCAACTGGTGGTTTCCTTTATTCGGGGATTTCCGGATCCGGTTCAAAACGAGGGATTTTTTCGAGGCCTTGCGCTCTTTTGCAGCTTCAGGAGCTGAAGCTGCAAGACTTGCTGATGGACCAGGCGCAGTCGAAAGTACCCCCCCACATGTTGACCAGCTTGAATTTTAATGGGGGAACACCCTCCTACATGATTGGTGGACACCATTCCCACTGATTTTGATGTCCGCCAAAGGGTCCCCTATTAAAAATCATATCCAGATATTTGATTTGGGTATGGGTCAAAATGAACTGCCAGGAATTGGACCGCAGGCTTTAGTCCTTGGTGGGACCTGTGCGAATCATACCCCCTCATACCTCCGAACCATACCCCGAATCATACCCCCTTCACAACACCAAGTACTACTACTTCTACTACTGCTACTGCTACTGCTACTGCTACTGCTATCACCACTACTTCTACTACGGTGCTACTACCACGTCTCATGCTACTACTGCTACTGCTATCACCACTACTTCTACTACCATGCTACTACCACTTCTCATGCTACTACTGCTACTGCCACTGCCACTGCCACTGCCACTGCTACTGCTACTGCTACTGCTACTGCTACTGCTGCTGCTGCTACTACTACTACTACTACTACTACAGCTACTACTACTACTACTACTACTAGCACTTCTACTGCAGAAAAACCTTGCTTCCGAACCATACCTCGAATCATACCCAAACCAGCGCAAGCCATTTTGGGTACCTACTGTGGATGGACCAAATCCTGCACCACCTAACACACCCTGAGATTATGATGTCCCTACAAATTCCACACAATCAATGTGGATGCCCATGGTTTCAAAGTGATGCGAAATGGATTTTGCAACCATCCACAGTATGCTTGACAACCATGGCCATTTGTCCCAATGTGTCGGGCACGCAGGGCGTCAGTGAGGGAGTGAAGATCTTATCCTTCACCGCGCAGAGCGGCTCCGCTGTGTCGCAGACGCTCAGCAGAATCTAAGAGATGGCTTGGTGGCTCCCAGCCGTCCGGTTCCTTAGCATGTTAGCTTTGTAGTTTTTAGTGGTTGGATGTCAATTTAACCCACTAAAAGTTAAACTTGTAGCGGGGGATCTGAGGACAGTCCAGATGGGGTCTTCTTTTGAGGGTACCCTTCTTTTTGTGGCTTGAAAGGGAAGCCTTTATTGAAGAAATAATGTGCATCCTATATTGGTTCTCCATGCAATGCGTGGGATTTAAATGAATATCACTCGGCTTGGGAGAGCCAGTGTCTGGTCAAGAAGTGAACTTCCCACCGTGCCCACCTTCCAAGCAGTTTCCGGCCCGCCAAGACATTTACGTATGGCTCACTTTAGCCTTGGCCTTGTGGGCTTGTGTCTTCCAGTTCACAAGATTTCCCTGATTACTCTTTATGCAGTTATTGCCCTGCTGGCTTGCACCTCCACACTGCAGAATATCATGTCTGTAGGGGTAGATGTATTTCCCTGATTTCAAAGGCTGAAACATCAAGACGAGCTGGAGGGAGACGCGGAGCTACCACCGGCGAAAAGCGGCTTGCCTGCAAGTGTAGCACCAAGCGCATGGCTCCGTACGGTTCTTGGTGCTTTGAGTTTGGTCTTGCACCGTCTCGCGAGGCGAGCCTTCAGGCGAGGCTTCCTCTACCACGCTGAGTGCAGAGGAGGACATTGAGCCCCCCACCGTCTCCAGCCCAGGCCATGGCTTCGGATTTGGTGCCCCGCCCAAGTCGTCCAAGTGCGGTTCGTGTTTGTAGGTGGTGGCGATGAAGAAGGTGATGACAAGGTGCCCTCTTCCCAGGACGGTCCGAGGCATCACGGCTTGGGACGCGTTGTATTCCTGCCAGGAGATCCAGATGCGAATCAGGATGAAGGCGCTTGGCCGTGCCGAAACTTAGGCGTTGAGGACTGAGCATAGCCCGGGTTTTGAATGGCCATGGCGTGTTACGAATTTGCCACGTGCAGGGCCCTGGCTCCTCTTTGCTGCAGAAGTCGAGTGCACCAGTGCAGGGCCTAGAGTCGGGCTCAGCCACGGACCTTGTACTTTGGATCGGCGCACGTCCAACTCACAAGGTGTTTTTGATCTCCACAGACAAAACTCCATACCTTTCCAGGGTTTGCAGCTGCGCAACATAGCTTGTTCATGGCCAAGGTCTTGATATCTTAGATCATATCAGGTGTTTGCCGCCAAAGCGGGCATGAAGAATGAAGCTCAATTGTGTTGGCTGTTGAGTTCAGTACTTTGGCACCTGGCCAGGGATATTATGAGCCCTCACCCAAGGTCAAGCTGAGCAAGCTGATGCTGACTGCCGCTCTTGCATGGACATACGTTTCGGGCTTTAGCTGAGATCGTCCTCCAAATCATTGAGAGTCACCACATGCATTCTCTGCATGCCAACAAAAACAGTTCTGCACGGCAAAGAGGAGATGACAGCTAGCTCTCATAGGTAGAAGACTACGAGAAGGCACAGAGTGTAAGTGCCAAGAGTTCTTGGCTACTTGTACATCGGTGAAGGCTTTGCTGAGCGGAGGACAAAGAGTGGCACGAGCTGGGGTTGATTCGTCTCTGGCGCTTCTGTTGTAACCTGAAGCTGCAGTTGTGTGGTGCTACGAGCAAGGCGTCCGCGCGGTCCCCCCAAACATCTCAAAGGACCCCCGAGCTGCGGGCCGCCTCGAAGCAAGAAGCTGAGCCATGGACTTGGAGATCCTGGGCGCAATCAGCGGTGAGCTCTTTCACTGCCTCAAGGCGTGGTCGTATGAAACCGGGCGGGAGTGGTGGTCTGTGTGGTACAAACAAATGCAGCAAAGGCATCAGAGCTTCGGCAGCTGGAGCAAGTCTCAGACTTGAAGCTTGCCATTTCCAGGGCCAAAGGCCTGCAGTTGCTTGGCTGAAAATAGGCTCTCTTTGTGAGAAGAGTTCCGGGCTGAGCTGTCTTCCGGCTTGGCATGTCCAATTCAGGAGCCCATCGATGATTCGACTCTATGACCACCAGGCAGACCAAGAAACAGGTGCTATTTGCCTTTGGGTTTCTTCTGAATTGATGCCTTTCCAAGCACGCAGGCGCTGGTACAGGACGATCTATCCCTCCCAGAGCTTTGGCGGCGTCAAGGAAGCTTGAAAGCTCTTGCAGCTCGGACAGAATAGTGCGGCACTGCCAACCAAAAAGCGATCTCCTAGTCGATCATCAAGCAACTTTCCTTATGAGCTTGTTTGTCAGGGCGGTCTTCTCTTTTGTGAGGGTGCAAGGAGTGTACAAGACCCTGGCTTTCAACAGTAGTAGCGATGGGCCTGGCTGGCGTTTGCTTTGAGGTTGTCATACTAGAAGATGACCAGGATCTGGATGAGAGGCCTGCCATTGAAGCTGCCACTCTTCGCCCCAACGAGGATGCAAGCGCTAGCAAGCAGGATGGGTCAAGTACTGTATACTCTTGTTTGAACAGCCAAGAAAGCAGCCTGGGTGTTTCCCAAAGTAGGGACACATCCTTCTTATCGTGACAGGGTTTACCTGTCTGTTTAATCCGTTTACAACCCGAAGGCAGGGTTAAACTACTTTGGAAGTACCCTGCTCACAGGAGCCGCAATCAAAACCTTTGTAATTGGAATGTAGGGCCACTTCGAACCACAAACGAATGTCCAGGTTTTTGTCGGGCCAAACGAAAGACGAGACACTTTTTTTGTTTTGGAGGCTTCATGTCTTTGTTGTGTGCTACATGGAACAATTTATACACATATATATATATATACATGGCCATGGGGCATAGCCTGTGGCTCCATTTTGGGGTGGATGAACATCCATTTGCCACCTATTTTGATGCTCACCAGGGGTACAGGGTTTTGACCCACAGCCATATATATATATATAGATATATATATGTATGCAGCATATGCACTTCATTTTGCTGAGCAAGCTGCAGGCTGCCGGCCCTGCTGCAGCTGCCACTCCAGGACGTGCAGGGCCTGCGGGGCCTGCTGCAGCGTGCGCTTGAGCGCAAGGCCCAGGCCGGGATAGACGGCCCCAACCTTGTACATCTAAGCTTAGAGGTTCCCTGCCATCCGAATCCTTAGCTGTTTAGATCTCTTGTTATCTGGTTTAGTGGTCGGATTTCCGTATTTGATCCACGAAAAGTTAGTCGCTTTTAGCGGGGGATCTGAAAACGGACGCCCAGATATGAATAGAATGTATGAATATCTTGTGTTGAATGTGATGAATGGGTATATTTGAGGTTGCTTCTTGGCCACCATGCTGCAGGTGATGAGAGACCTGCCACAGGAGCTTCAAGCGGACCGCTCTTTAGTCTTCAGCGCTGTGGCGAAGAACTGGAAGGCCCAAGCTGCCTCCGAGCATGTGACACCAAGGCAGTGGCATGACTGCCGCCAACTGTTCATGGTAGGTGTTGAAGTTCTGCTCTGCTGACTTCCAAGATGACTTGGACATTGTGCAGCAGGCCAACCTTGTTTGAAAGCGTGGTGTGCTTGGATCACGCTGCCACTCGAAGGAAGTCACATTTCTCGTTTGACTGGAGGGACTCGAAAGCTCGGCAAGTCACCCAGCCCTTCTTTAAATGCGGGAATCAAAAGGTCCTTTACATGGGATGATCATTGGGGCAAACTACTCAATACATGGGTTACCCATTTTCATTTACGGGCCGAAGGGAATACTGATCAGCCTCCAAGCCTCCAAATGCAGGGGGATCCTCGTACGCTTTGCGAGGCGGTTCTGCAGAACACCACCGCTTTGCAGTTCGCCTCAACAAGGCTTCGCGGCCATCGCGGCCTCGTGATGCAGGCGCCATCTGCAAGTACATGGCAATGTGGGGATCGCTTGTCGCGGTATCATTTTGCAATCTTCGCAGGTTTCACACCAGCTCCCCCAGCTTCGAAACTTCCAAGTTTGGCTTGCAGGTCTCAAACCTTCAGATCTGACCAGTTCGAGCCAGCATAGATGGAACAAGCACAGCCGTGTGTTTTGTTCATGTGATCTTTCCCTTGGAATCAATGTGCCTTTCTTTCACGTCCGTTGCTGTTCAGTTGTTTTGCATTATGGTCCCTTGCTCCCGCTTCTTTGTCCTTTGGACCACCTGGATTTCAGTTTGTTGGCAAAGATCGACGGCCCAAGACCACGGGTTTCCAGCGTTCTGACAGGCCATCTCGCTCAACACCGCAGTCCTGCAGTTTGCAACCACAGAACTTCGCAACTTGGAGGTAGAAATAGAACCCATGGGAGGAGAAAGCTTGAAGTCTTGTATGTGTGCGTGTGAGTGTGTGTGTGTGTGTGCGTGGTTGCATTGCTGCAAACTTGCATAGCTAGTGTTTTGCTTCATGAAACAGATAGTCAAAACAATGACACATGTCATGGACATCAGGATGATGGCCTGACTGTAAGGAGAAGATGTCCAGCTCATGAAGGAAGCTCTGCGTCGGAACCCCTTCGCACTACGTTTCGCCAGTCAAAAACTAGCAGAGCACAAGGACGGGTGGCCCTCGGATTGGATGGATGCGCTCCTGTCATTTATGTCCTCTCAGAACTCAGGAGCTGGTCCTAGATGCCGTGAGAGCTGAAGGCTCGTTCTTGATGACAGGAACAGACAAATGCACCAAGGCCACGAATTTGAAGAAAGAGAAACAGAGATCGTATGGACCAGCTCGAGATATTATTCTTTCAAAATGGCTTTGGCCCCACAGAGGTATCTACCTAGCCAGCAAGGCCTCACGCTGCTCTACGCTGGCGAGCAGCTTAAGGGCGATCGGCAGGCCGAAAGCAATGTGACAGAGGTGTCATTGCTTGGGCACAGCAAATGGGATTGTCTTGCTGGTGTGATAGGTAGGGAATGTGGGATGAACCGTTTTGCGGTATTGCCTTCTCAGCACCAGCAAGTTGTGATCCACGTGCATCATTGACAGTCCTGCTTCTTCCAAGACATGCCAGTGGCTGCTCAAGTCCTTTCCAGGTGGTGCTGGCAGCTGTGCAACAGCAGGGCTGCGCATTGCTGTTTGCCTCTGATAGTATGCGCAGTGACCGCGCTGTGGTGTTAGAGGCAGCGAATGGGTTTCAGCCTAGCGCTTGTCTTCATGAACGGCAGCGACTGTCAATACTTTGTCATGAACATGTGCAATTTTGTTTGCGTAAGATGTCTTTGAAGATTGCACCGGTCCGGAGGCTATCCAGCAGAACGGCATGGCTTTGCAGCATGCCAGCGAGGAGCTGCAAATGGACAAGGATTTGATAGTGGAGGCCGTTTGCGAAAGCACGATTTGTCACAGTCGTGCCTTTTGGTCTGCCGAAGAATACGCAGCTGCTGGATTCAAGACGCAAGTTGATTTGGTATTGCACAGTGTATTTGTTTTTGCTAAATTTGTCCCTTGCTGCGAAGTCCGTTTGAGGCCGGCGCTCACAAGCCGCACTTGAGCGAGAAGGTGCGCCTGCAGCGAAACACATGCGATGCAAAGCAAAGACACTGAGGCCCGAACATCCCATCAGCCTGCGCCCCAGCTGCGGGCCACGTGTCATTTTGGGTTTTCGGTGATTTACTTTTACCGCTCCGCGCTCCGGCCTCGCATGTCGGCCTCGTTACACTCCTCACGGCCAGTTCCCGCGCACCCCAAACCCCAACAAGGGTACCCTCAAAGCAAAAACACCGTACAGCCATTGGGGATGCCGATGTCGACCATTTTGGCCTACAGAGCCTGGTCCCATGTTCTACGCTTTTCACCCTTCCCAGGCGCCTCCCTTTTCGGAGGAAGGGTTCGGCGGCTATCAGCCATCAAGACGATCGGTGCGCATGTTTTTCGCGGTGAACCACGGTGAATAAAGAAACAGGCAATACAGTCGGCAATAACGTGTCTTTATAATTTATAAGGAAAGGTTCCAGGCGAAAACCTCGTCGACAGTTCCCTAGGACAGAGGCAGGTTGACGCACAGCAGCCTGGATCTCACTGATTGGCAGGCAGGCTTGCCTCAGCCCCCGCTACGAATTTATGTCTCCTCCGCGGAGGCGGCTGGAAGCGCTGCTCGGACACAAACGGAAAATTAGTGTCACAGAATGGATGAAGCTTTCTCGAGCGCAAGAGCAAACAAGAGCATTCGCCGCAGTGCATGCAGCATGATGCCCATGAGCATGTGTCGCTGACCTGGAACAAAGCAGCATGTCCAGCCAAGGTACATGAGGGCGCCTTCCCCTTCCGTTGCCTGACGTACTCTTCAGTTCTCCATGGACTGAGCTCGACCGGAGAGTTGCATTGCTCCCAAGCCTAGTAGGCCAATGATAAGAGCAGCCACTCACATTCTGAGCGGCTTTTGCCAAAACTCGAACATGTGTGTTTGTTACAAGTGCTGTTTGGTGGACTTCACGCAAGCTGTTTTTTCTTCTTTTACGCAACCTCACGTTGGACATGACAGCACTTGGTCAACCCTTTCTCCCTGAATGTCAAGGGACAGCCTGATGCAGCCACCGCTGCGGCGAGTGCTCATCAAGGAATCGGGGTGCCAGACTCACTGTAGAGATAGAGGCCAGAAGATCAGATGTTGAGCGGAGACCAAGTGTGTGAAATATTTGGAATTCAGCTAAGCTGCAATTGACGACTAGGTCGTCCGCAAAAGTGGCACATGCGAGCAAGAAACCCACGGCTTATTGGAAGAGTCAGACAAATCCACTGGTTTTATTGATGAATGTTATGATGGTGCACACACTTTTGCATGCAGAATTCAATAAGTTTTGCTGGGGATTGTTTACATGCATCATCCTCATCCTAGTCGATCTCAGCCTGTGCTGTCCAAAGGCCAGACTATGCTAAGCCTGTCAACACTGGGGGTTCAGGAGGAAAGCGATCCCGCTGCTTCGGAAAGCATGGTTAGCTTCTTGCCTGCATGGTCGCACCCAATTAGTCAGCTGGACTCTCAACATCGTAGAGCTGCTAGGAACTTGCATGTTCATCTACACCCAGCTGCGATGTGTGGTTCAAGCACCTGCGGGCGTAGTCATGTTCAGCACCTGAGCCTAATCTACGTGATGCATGTGTGTGTGTGTGCAACGCATGACGAGGGTCTTCAAGCTGACCTTGTCAATGTTCTGACAAACAGCGCGCCCAACGTCATTATGGTTGGATAGATTCGGCCAATGAGTTGACATGGAACGGCGTGTCAAGTATGCCAAGCCGGCTTGCAATTAGTGGACATGGAAAGCGTTGCATCTCACGCGCGTCACACACGTACGAACAGACTTCAGTCGAGTGAAACCGGACACAGACCGATTGACTGTTGGTATTCAGCACTTAGCTCGGTAGACTTTGCCAGGCCAACTTCCACCAAGAGCCCCCAGCTCTTCGGCCTCCTAAGGTCCCAATCAAGGAGCGCCTTTCCTGCATGCTTCGTTGGAGCAATTCGTGATATGCCAGGAGCTGTTGCTGGCAGTGGTGCTCTTCATTGTCGAAATCTCAGATTGCCTGTCTTTTGTGCGAATGCACTAGCTCCAAGTTGGCGCATGCGCAGTGTTTGAGGTGGGCACAGTATGCCTGCTGTGCGGCGCAAATGTCTTCTTCAAGACCCGCTTGCCAGCGCAACATTTGCGGGATTGGCAGACAGGCAAAGCTCAGCCACATTCACACCGGCAAGGAAAG